TTTAAATCAGGACGAATTGACAAGGAGGACATTAGGTGCACTGCTTAGTAGGGGATGTTGCGTTGATCATTGAGGAAATTAAAGAATTCATATTTGGCTTTCGTTTTCAATGACAGGGAAAATATGTTCAAACCAATATGTGCAGAGTAAACATAGTTAAGCAGGACTTGAAATTGAAGATAGAAGAGTATGTGAACAGATAATTATTTTAAATAAGTATATCACCTAGCCTGGATACATTTCATCCAGTAGTAGTGAGCATACTATCAAATGAGATCACCAGCAGTAGTTGGTAGTTTTTCAGATATTGTGAGAAATGGGGTAGCAGAAAAATAGACATAAGCAAATATATGCCTATTGAATAGAATCTTTCCCATTTTGAGTATATAATGGGTACTTTTTGATATCAATTTTGTTTTCACATCTCTGGAATATATTAAAATGTTGAATTTTATCTCTTTTGGATGGCCCTGGTGTATTAAGGTAATCTTATAGTCTGCATACAATTTGACCACAAGATGGTGCTCATACAGAAGGGATTTGTGTATATATGAGCAGAGTTTCTCTAAGCAAATAACCAGTCTGTGTCATCAGTCATCTCAGCTTAGTCTCGTCCTCAGAGAAAACTCCTAGAGGAAAACATAGGCAGTAATCTCCTTGACATAGGTCTTGGTGATGATTTTTGGAATCTGACACCAAAAGCAAAAGCAGCAAAAATCAAACTAATGGGACTACATCAAACTAAAAAGCTTCTGCACAGCCAAGGAAGCTATGCCACCAAGATGAAAAGGCATACTACTGAATGGGAGAAAATAATGACAAATCACATATCTGATAAGGGGCTAATATCCAAAATACATAAAGAACTGATTCAACTCAGTAGCAAAAAAACCAAACAACTGATTTAAAAATGTCAGAAGATCTGAGTAGACATTTTTCCAAAGAAGACATACAGATGGCCAACAGATATATGAAAACACAGATGCTCAGCATCATTAATCATCAGGGAAATGCAAATCAAAACCACAAGATACTACCTCACACCTGTTAGAATGTTAGAGTGACTCTTAACAAAAAGATAGGACATAATAAGTGTTGCCAAGGATGTGCAATAAAGGAAACCCTCATGTACTGTTGGTGGGAATGTAAATTGGTAAAACTGTTGTGGTAAACAGTATGGGAGGTTCCTCAGAAAATTAAAAATAAAGCTACCATATGACCCAGCAAATCTACTTCTCTGTATTTATTTGAAGAAAATGAAAACACTAATTCAAAAAGATATATATGCACCCCCATGTTCATTGAAGCATTATTTACAGTAGCCAAGATATGGAAACAACTAAGAATCCATCAACAGAAGAATGAATGAAGAAAATAGGGTATATGTGGTAAAAGAGAATGAAATTTTGCCATTTGGAACAACATGGGTGGACCTTGAGGGCATTATGCTAAGTGAAATAAGTCAGAGAAAGACAAATACTAGTGATTTCTTTTATAATGTGGAGAAAAGATTGGTGGTTATAAGAGGCAGGGGAGTGGGAAAAGCGGGTGAACTGCGTATCTTTTGTTTTGTTTAAATAAATGGAGTAGAAAAAAATTTTTCGAGTCTTAGTACAGTTGCACATTTTGAAATTTAATAGGCCAGATCATAAAGATAAAAGTGTAAGGAAAATGCATGTTATGTTGCATTTGTAGTGTAGTAGCTTTGTAGTTACTTAGTAATTTTTTTTAGTATTTTAGAATTTTAATATTGTTTTTCCTCTCAACCTTCTAAGCTTTTCACTGAGATTATTTAATCCTTGTCTTTGTTACTATACCTGAAGACTTATGGGTTTATTTGTGAGTTTGGAATGATAAATAATTGAGGGCCTACCTATTCTATATATATTTTTGAATGGTCCTTACTTTCATTTAATGTTACAAAATAAATTTCTCACAGTTATAAATTCTTCATAATCATATTTTTGGTTATCTAATAATCCACTAAATGGATGTACTCAGTTTACCTAAGCTTTACCTAAAATTTCTCACAGTTATAAATTCTTCATAATCATATTTTTGGTCATCTAATAATCCACTAAATGGATGTACTCAGTTTACCTAAGCTTTATGGTTTAGAGTTCTATTACAGATAGTATTATCATTTTGTGAAAAAATAAACTGTACAGAAAAAAATACTTAAATCACATTAAAATGTTAATAGTTCTTCGGTGATTTTGACATAGTGTATGTTTTTTAATTCATTAGTTTAAATAGACTTTCCAGGTTCCATAATGAGCTTAAATTTTGTTTTAATGTAATAGAGTTTATTTTTTGGCTCTGCTATATAAGTAGGGCTATTCTAAAGCAGAAATCAGTGAGGAATTGGTCACCTTTCATCTCCCAATAAAATCAAATGAAACCATTTGTGATTTAAATACACATATGGTTTTGTATGCATGCATTGACTACTGGGCAATGGGTGAGATGATCCTCGGATTTTTGTAGGACAGGTGATGGGTTATTTTCATAAAGAAGCCTTTCTCAAAACTCAGAGTTGCTTTCTTAATGTCAGTGGATTTGATTAGAAAATCTGTGCAGTGAAAAGCACTTTTCCCAGTACTTAGAGGATATATGGGATGGAGTGACCTATCAGCTTTAGATTGTTTTTGAGCTCTTTGGCTCCCTAGGTAAGAAATCTACGTACATAAATGGCTTAGTATTCATTGTGTTATTATTGTTTGCAATGTGAGTAGGAAATTTGCATTCAGCATTTGTGTACAGTATCTTCCATACCAATCCAGAATAACAGAACCTGTATCAGTTCTAGGGTTCCCCCCATCTCGGGTTTTCATCAGACGTGGATCAGCAAGGTACATCTTTTTGTTCCAAACCAATTACTGGAGCATTTGTATAAACCACACCAGCCAGTTGTTTATTAAATACCTGGTCCATATTACTGTTGTTTTTTTTTTAGGAGGTTTAATTTTTTTCCTTCAGAGAATTCTTAGTTCTCTGTTTACCTTGAGTGTTTTCCTGTTCCCTTACCTCCAAATGGACAGGACCAATCTGTCTAGGGTCACAATATTGCCAACTACTATCTGCAGAGTCCTTGGGAAGAAGCACCAAACTTTGTGCTATAATCTCTTGTCACAAAGCATCTTAGCTCTCAAGAGTCCCACATGACTCGCAACCCTTTTGGGCATGTGTCTATATCTTAGGGATGGAATCAGAGAGAGATTATTAGCATCTTTGCTTGCTGAAGCAGGATTTGCAATGGTTCTGGAGGTCATAGTTTGCCAATACTATTTTCCAATAGACTACATTTAGTTGGTGTGGTAAGCACATAGTAAGCAAGATTTTTGGTCATTCCACATCTGAGAAAGTATATGGCTGACAGGCTCCCTGCTCCGCGGGAAGCCTGCTTCTCCCTCTTCCATTCCCCCTGCTTGTGTTCCCTCTCTCGCTATGTCTCTCTGTCAAATAAAGAAATAAAATCTTTAAAAAAAAAAGTATATGGCTGAGGTTGGGATTTGTGATGTGCTTATATCAACTTAAAAACTAAATTACTCAACCATTAGTAAATTATCAAGTAGCATTTTTATTCATATATTGTTTTAAAACGACCATATAGGGGCGCCTGGGTGGCTCAGTCGTTAAGCGTCTGCCTTCGTTTGGCTCAGGTCATGATCTCAGGGTCCTGGGATCGAGCCCCACATCGGGCTCCCTGCTCCGCGGGAAGCCTACTTCTCCCTCTCCCACAACCCCTGCTTGTGTTCCCTCTTCGCTGTGTCTCTCTCTGTCAACTTAATAAATAAAATCTTTAAATAATAAAAATAAAATAAAACAACCATATATTATATACTAATGTAGCAGTGTTAACAGGGCAGAGTTAGAAATCTATGGTTCTTAAACTTGAGGTTGCTTAAGCGTCACTTAAGGGCCTTTTTAAAAATGAAAATTTCAAGGAAGGGCGCCTGGGTGGCTCAGTCGGTTAAGCGTCTGCCTTCGGCTCGGGTCGTGATCCCAGAGTCCTGGGATCGAGCCCCACATCGGGCTCCCTGCTCCGCGGGAAGCCTGCTTCTCCCTCTCCTACTCCCCCTGCTTGTGTTCCCTCTCTCGCTGTGTCTCTCTCTGTCAAATAAATAAATAAAATCTTAAAAAAAAAAATGAAAATTTCAAATCCCTCTTACCCTAACAATTTCTGGTGAGGAGGGGATACCAGTCTGCATTTTTAACCAGCATCCTAGGTGATTCTGAGGTAGACTACTATGTTGAGAAACACAGACCTAGATAATAGATGTTAGAAAATGTCTGTCTAGCAATCAAACAATATTATTTAGTGAACCCCAGAGTATTATTTATATAGTGTTGGATAAAACATGCTTTGCTGGTTATAAAACAAAAAATTTACCTTTAATTCTTTTGCATTTTTAAAAATTCATAACTTGTTAATCTAAGTGTTTATAATATATGAGAGAGATGATGGTGATAATTTAACAGTTCTTTTTTATCACAAAAGTTCTGGAAGCCAAATATTTATTTTGCTGATTAATCTGTTTCTGTCTCCAGACTCAATTATCAAAGCATTAAGAACCAATGTATTACATAAATGATCATGCCACATTACAAATGGATTTTCCTCTAGCATTAGATCCTCAGAGTTGAATGTAAATAGTACCTTTTAAAAACTTGGAACCTAATTAATGTGAGCTCCTTCCTAATGTGGAAATTTATATGTGAATGACAAAGGCTCCTTCAGTAAAATTATTTAAACAATCAGAACTATTGGCAAGAGAATCCTCTTGTATTTTTAAATTCAGTTCGTACTTATAATTACTTAAGCAGTGAAGATGCCACTGGATTTTACTACAGACTGTGATTGAAACTTCATAATCCAGGGTTTCTGTACCCTGTGCATCAAATCAGGCAGCCCCAAAGGGTGTTGGTAGTCCAGTGTTTATAACATCCTTCTTTACCTGCTAATCGACCTCACTTCCTGGATTTCATTCTGTCTAGTTATCAGCTAACAAAAGAACAGCTTTTGGTTCCTGCAGACGCTGGTGAAAAAATAATCATGAGAAAGACATCAACCTTATGCCGTCTTTTTTGTCTGCAAATAAAAACTCAGCCATCATACAACTAACAGGTACAGAGGGAAGATACAAGCTCTTTCATGGGAAGAAATTACAGAGAAAATGAGCATCATTTCTCAAAGGTTTTTATTTTCCCTGATCTGCAAGTGATGCTGCTGTAATTCTAGCTGCAGTTTTTACCGATCATTCACCACTCAGCAGCTGGTAGAGAAGTAAGACTGCTTGGCAACCACCTGCAGGGCTGCAGAGATGAATTACATTTTCGGGAACAACACACTTCTATACTCTCGCGCCAGTCGAGGAGGCAATACTAGCTCTAGCCATGGCTCAGTAGGCCCAAAGCAGAAACATTGGGCAAAAAAGGGTTCATCAGATGAACTGCAAGCTGAGCCAGAACCTTCACGCTGGCAGCAGATAGTTGCATTTTTCACTCGAAGACACAGCTTTATTGACTGCATCTCGGTAGCCACCAGCTCCACCCAGGTAACATACCACTTGTTGAAATTATTTTCAATATATTTTGGTTTACGTTTGCTTTGCAAATGTATTAATAGAGATTTCTTATTATTAAAAATATAGTCTTATGTACTGAAACCTTGGATGCTCAGAAATACATGTTTTCAGTCCATCTATGTAGGTCTTTAGCATGAAAGGGGAAACAAAAAATATTTTCTCTTTTGCTCTTATGTAATACCAAACAAAACAGTCTCTGATTCTGTTGAGGGACTTCTCTAAAACTACAAACCATTGATACATAAATTACAATATAAATTAATAATGCTTGTCTCCTTGTTTTTAGACTGTTAAATGCTATAAAGTCTGATGTCTAACAAAAAAACACAAAACCTCTTTAGCTTCTGTATGTCATTAGATAACCTTAAGAAGATTGCTATGGTAAAGAAACAAGATATAGAAAGATTTTTATTTTCTAGTGTTTTGAGAATAAATTGAATACAGTTGACTATTGCTATATACCTATAAAGTTATACTAAATTATGGTTTATTCAAAGAATTTAATGAATCCTTCCATTTCTATAAATATATATTATCTAGGGTTAATTTAAAAGCATTAAGCTTATGTAATTACACAATTGCACAAATATTTTTTTAGACAAGCACTGAAAATCTTTCCAAATTAAAAAAAATCATGTAAAACCAAATCTTTTTGAGGAAATGAGTATTAAAAATGGGGAAAATACAAAATTAATAGTAATTTAAGTGAAATATTTATTTGGCATTAAAGGAGGTTGGGGGACTATTACATATTTTAAAATATTTTCTATAGGTATGTCTTAAACTTTGGTAAAAATGAAAGGATAAGAAATAGTCTAGTTTAAAAACAAGGAGAGATTGCTTTTGTCCTTTGACATCAATAATACTTAATAAAATTTATACACATAGCCTAGTGCTTTTTAGAATAAATTTCTTTAAAACCATCTTTTTTTAATAATTAGAAGCAGCACAATAAATACAAACTGTCAACAGCTTCTTTCTTGCTTTTGGTTACTAGAATTGTCTTTCAATAGTTTTGATTTTAAAATATTGTCAAATTTCTTAAGTAAGAAATTGTACTTATTTTTCTAACGTGTGAGAGAAATGGAATTACTGGGCTAGGGAGAGTCATTAATTGTTCTTATGTAGGCACTGATGTTAGTTTTAAACAAAACTTCAGAGGCAATGATATGATTTAACTCTTAGATTGAATACTGCCTGAAGAATTTAACTAACTTGATTTTGACTACAATTATACATATCAAAAAGGAATGCAAAGACTAAGGCTTGTTGTTGTTAATTCATAATAGATTAATATTAAATGATATTTTCTATTGTCAATTAAAAAAGTGCTAAAAACTTTTAAAAACTCACATGTAGTTTGTATAAGTACACAGTACTGTATATGTATACATATACACTACCACTGATATATAATCTTATTAGGGGCATACAAGTGAAAAGGCAAGCACAATAGTTCACATATAAAACTATTGAAACCACAGAATTACATTATAATTACTTAGGAGTTGGAGAAAAAGCTACTTTTGTATTGTACTAAGTAGAGTCATAATTTCAATAAAAACTCTATTCACAATTAATCCTACAAAGCCATTTAAAATTTTATTTTCCTCCCATTTGGTTCAAATCATTTGTTGTACTGATAAATGACTTAGTTTTTATTTCTTTCATACTTCTTTTTACTTGTCTTTTTCATTACCTTTGTATTTCATCTATAGAAGTATAGACATTAGGTCAAAGGTTTTAGCTTTTATTTCTCCTGCTCTGAAGTGCCATCATACTGTTTTTCATTCTGTATATTTTTCTAACTGATGAGTTAGATATTTTATATATCCAAGTCTTTTGTTGTAATTCACTGGAATTCACTTTACTGGACAAAATATGATAGAACCAAGATAGAACATTAGACAGATTTGGATCTTGACTGATGCTAGACTACATTTTTCTGTTTCATCTACTGACTCGTGGCTGGCAGTTTTTAATTTGTAGCACCGGAAGGATTTGCATATTGTTAAAAACAAGGTAGATTAATGAAATTTCATAATTTACTGAGCATTTACTACATATCTGTGAAGATAGTACTATGATAGTGTTTTGTTCTGTGATTGATAAATAGCAGCAATGATTACCAGGTTTCCTTTGTTGTTAGAAATATTTTTTCTAAGATTTAATAGCAAGATTAAGTTTGAATCTAATCCCTCGTAACTATGCAGCATGATACTTTTAGCAGTTTGGAGAATTGCTATTAAATCAAGTTTTATTAATTTGAAAGTCATTACTCTGATTTAATAACCCCCAAGTATCCTCTATAAATAAAAAGAAAATTTATTTAGAGATTCATTTAAATTGCCTGTGTGTTGGAAATATTCACATTCATAACTCAGATTATGTGCCAGGTTCTACTGTAATATCTGGAATTTAGTATGAAGTCATTAATTTTTTTCAATGTTAAGGAAGCTAAGTGGTTACAAACTTCTGTAAGACCCCCAGCTTCTAGGATAGGCCTTGGCATATAGTTGGTGCTCAATAAATGTTTATGGGATTGATCATTTTCCGTTTCAGTCACCAAAACCTTGTTAGTTTATGGCCTTCCAAAATATAACACCTAATCCTAAACCTCCTGGGTACCTATTTTTCTTGGATCCACTTTCCTTCCCTCACCACTGCCTTTAGTTCCTCACAGTAGCCCGTTTCTTTCTCTGTCTCCCTTTTCCTCCCCTCCATTCTTCGTATTTCCTTCAGGCCACACATATCCCCCATGTACCTCACCCCTCTGTGTCCCCACACAGTGATGATAACTGTACAGCTTACAAACTGTTTCTCATTTTTGTCATTTGGTTATATCCCAGAAGTTCACTTGGATTGCCTTTTTTTTTTTTTTTTAATATTTTAGTTATTTATTTATTTGACAGAGAGAGAGAAAGATAACAAGCAGGGGAAGCAGTAGAGGGAGAGAGAGAAGTAGGCTCTCCACTGAGCAGGGAGCCCTATGCGGGGCTTGATCCCAAGACTCTGAGATCCTGACCTCAGTTGAATGCAGACACTTAACTGACTGAGCCACCCAGGTGCCCCTGGGTTGTTGTTTTTGTTTTTGGGGGGCTTTTTTTTTTTTAATATTAAATTAAGAGGAGTTTCTAAATTTTTTACTTTGGTGTAAGTTTTTTCTATTTTGTGCTTCATACTAATGTTCTTAATTTTGAATAATTATTACAGAAAAAAAGGGCCTACATGTTGTCAAACCTTCCTCATTTCTTTACCTCAGAATTCCCTCTCTTCTTGCATTTAGGATCACTTAGTGCCAGTCTGCCCTGTTCTATTTAGCACACTCACCTCTGTTCCAGTTAGGACCAATTTTTGTATTCATGAGGGTTTTAAAGAGCTCCAGCATTTCTAGTCTTTGCTACTTGATTAACCCCTAGGTAAAAAGTTTTTCCTCCTTGGTGGTATCAGTGTTTATTAATGAGTATAGTAGTCCTATAAACTTTGAACAGCTGTGAAGTGGTAGGTCACTTTGAATGTGTGTTTAGCAGCTGTGCCTATATTTTGGACTACTCAAAAATTCCTAACATGGATCATTATAAATAGTCAAACAAGATTCCGCCCTCCCCCGAACAACTGACATGCCAAATTGAGCTGAAAACAACAAAGTTCTTTTCTTAGGAGTGAATGGAACGGACATGATGACTTGTCATAATTGAAGTAGAACAATAAAATTTTAATAAGAATTGAATAGTCTTTTTAAGAGGAAAAACCCTGTCCTACATTAAAATGCAGGAAAATACTTTTCAGATACCCATGTGTGGAAAAATATATAAGCTAATTTGTATAAAAAGAATACTATTTGTCCTAAAAAGATGCATTCTAGATTAAAAAGAATTTAATTTTATAGAGCTGTGCATTGGACATATGGTCCAAAAATGAATATAATAGTATCAACCTCATGAGTTAATTGTATTAAGTGATTTACTATATGTATCATACTTAGAATAGTGCCTGGCAGCTATTACTTCATTATATTATTATTTTCTTTTTATATTACTTAACTTTTGATATTCCTTGAACAAATTCAAATATAGATAATTAGGAATTACAGCACCTAGGGTAGTGCAGTTTATTCAAACATTCAGTAAAGTAGTGTTGACTGAATAAGTTAACTGTAAGTACAGCCATGCACTTTTTTAAGAACTCCAAACTTCAATACCTTTAATTGTAGGATTTAAGGGGAAGGGGGCCCAAAGAGCACCTCACTTCTTGGTGAGACCACCAGTTCCCTGACTTTTCCTCTCCTCCCAACACTCCCTTTTGCAAATTTTTAAATGAGTCACAAGTAGACAACTAAGTTTGCAGTTTCCTAGGTATACCATCAGGACTAATTTTATACTGTGTATCCTTTTACATTTAATCACCCCAAAAAGTCCAAACCTTCCAGACCACTCTCATTCATTTCCTTACCTCTGAGTGATTCTCGTATATCTCTAATCGGTTTTAAACTCCCATTTCTCTCTGACCTACCAAGCCCTTTCAGTCTGCCCTTTGGAACTCCCAATTTGTCATCAGCAAAATTTCCTTTATCCTCAGACTCTTCTGTGATGGTTCACCCTTTTTTTCTCTCATGGACACCTGGCATTTCCCTGAGGATACTGTTTTGTTCTATACCCCTCGCAAAAAATGGAAATTTTATCTGTCTTCCTTGCTTATCATTGATATTTATGGATGACTGTATTTCCTCTCTCTTTAAAAAAAAATGTAGTTGCCATCAGATGATATTTTCCACTTCCCCTCCTTTTCTAGTCATCTGCATCCCTCTCAGTCACTCCTACTCATTGATGATTTGAACACCTGGTTTACTATCTTTTCTCTGCCCACTATTCCTGTAATTATTCTTAGTGATTTTCAGTATCCTTGTGTGATCTATCCAAAATCTTGACTTCTCAATTCTTTGATATCCTTACCACTAGGAATCTTGTCTT